CCGCTGAGAAGGGTATGGTTTTCAAGCAGTTTACTCTAGGATAGGGCATATAAATCAGAGCGTTTGGGTCTAGGATAGAGTATCATTTTTCACAAAACTGACAACTTGGTTGAAGATTTTATCTAGACTAAGGAAATCAGGAATTGACACTCAAAAGTATAAAAAAATCAAATCGGCAAGTTTAAATTTACGCTATTCAGCCTCAACAGTGTTGATAGAAGGGGGAGTTTGGGGAGTTTACTCTAATTTAGGGTAGCAAAATTCAGCTGATTAGCTCTGGCTAAGGGTTCCAGGGTCCCAGCAGCACATCCCCACCCAGAAATTCCCAAAGTACACCCCCGCTTTTCGTGTCACATGTCATCGACGAAGATGGTGATTTCCTTGCAACAAAGATGAAGCAAAGCAAGCGTTGATTCATTTTTGCAGTACTCCGAAGGGTACCACATGCCTTATTCGACGCCAAACAAAAGGAACTGATGGCTACTGTGGTAAGTAAAACGTATTACTGGTTCCTTGAGCTTATATTTTAGATTTTTATTCGTCTCATCTTGCGGAGATGAGGAAACCATGTTGTTCTCATTTTCGATTTCAAAGTGTGGTTAAACAAGAAAATCTCACCATTCCTTTTTTCGTCAATCCTTCACTAAATTCGAGTCCAGCATTGCTATGAAGTTATTTTTTAATATTCTGGGTACCTTTGTGTTTTTGAGTTAATCCATTTCATTTTCAAGTGAAGTGAATGTTGTGATCGATAAATGTACCTTTTGTTTTACCTCAAAATTAAAAGTTGTCTTCAAGCCTCCGAGACTTTTGTGTTCCTTTGTGATATGTGAATTCCCATTAATGGTTGACTGTTTAATGTGTACACCATGCCCTGGCAAGATGTCGTACCTGGTTTCCGGTGTTCCGCTGTTTACTATTTGACGGATGAATGATTTGAGGTCGGAATTCAATTCTAGAAATTCAGCTTATAACGCTTCGCGTTTTGCAGCTCTTAAAATGAGTGACACTGTTCATTTGAGCGACAGCGTTCATTTGATTAAAGTTAAGTGAAAGTTTACTCCAGCCAACCCTTGTTGTTATAAACCTTATGAAACAAAATATCCCCGCATTTGATTTCATCGTACTCGCTGGCAACGCTGTTTTATCGGCTAGTCCAGCTTAACAGGGCTAGCGGTTTTGTCAATATCCGAAAAACTAATTTTTGATATGGGAATCGGCTTTTACTAATGAAACTACACTTACCCTGATACAATTTAACGTATAGAAATAAGGATGTTTCCGGTGTTCTGGTTGCTCAAAATTCACCTCGAAGAGGAATGTTCTTCGACCAAAATTTGCTTCAGTCGACCATAGCGTGACATCAGTTTGTCACGAATCATTTTCGAGTATCTTACATAAGCTTATAACTTGAAGAAAGTTAACGATATTCATAACTTCATATTTAGTGTAGAAGCTGTGACAGTGAGAAAAACGTCTTTTGCTTTTGTTTTTTGCAGATGCAGCTGTTTTAGAGTATGTGCAGTGGCAGCAAAATTAAAATAAGCATGACATATGTAAACTCATTTGTGCAAACAAACTTAAAGTAATAAGGATAACAGTTTTCTCAACAGTTTCTCCTTAAGCGTTGACTTCTCCAAAGTTATGTGGTAAACCAGAAGTGGTGCAGAAAAATTGAATGAGTATTGAAAATAAATATTTCTATTTTTTTTTAATTTATTTTTTTTCTGTATATATTTCTTTGTCAGTCAATTGTCACGAGGCAGACAAAGGATTTCTCTACATGGCCATTCCTACTTTTGTCAATGGGTCATTGGCTGCATTGACAATTTTTGTTTGTTTTCATAGCTCTGAAAAGAGCAGTTTGAGTGGTCTTGAAAAGAACCATTTCAATACTATATGTTTTCTCTGCAAAACAATATTGTCACTTTTATTTCTCATATGGCTCACTAATGATCTCAGAAGAATTCTAAAAGCTCAAATGGATGGCAAGGTACTTAGTAAAGTCTGTGTCAGGCCAGGCGGTGTTGGACACGACTCGCAAAGCATGCCGGGAGAATTTTCCCCGTAGCTCATTTTCATCTGATCGCTGAACTGCAAACATCTCCGCGCGCTGATGGTGACGTCGAAATATAACTTATAGGAGGTTCGCTCGCATCCGATGCTGAAAGAAATCTGGAATGACATCCACATGAAA